TGGCTGTCTCAGCCTGCAAGTGCTAGGATAATAGATATATTTTGGTTTTTGCACTTTTGTCACATTCAAAAACATAATTCAGCCAGGCAGTGGTGGTACACACCTTTAATCTCAGCACTCAGGAGACAGAGGCAGGTAGATTTTTGTGAGCTTGAGGCCAGTCTGGTCTACAAAACAGCTACCAGGACAACCAGGACTGTTACACAGAGAAACCCTGCCTCGAAAATCCACAAAATAAAACAAACAAAAAAAGCATAATTCAGACCAGAAAGGGGGTGGAGAACAATGCCAACAAGATAGAGTTGGGTAGGAATGACCCAGCATTTGTATCTTGAATAAGCCTTTCTAGGAATGCTCATTAACCAGCTCCTGCCGTAAGTCTGCTGTTGGTCTGCCCATCAGGCTGATTTTCACAAATGTGTCCATTTTCTTACATCTCTTTAGCTTTACATTGTCTGTTAAATTCTTGGATTTTTTTTGTCTATGATGGTATCAAGATGACTCTTCATGGAATATACCTTTCATCTATATGAATATATCAGTGTCAATGCCCATTAAAGGTAGGTGAGAGGACTTGAGAGATGGCTCAGTAGTTAAGAGCATTGGTTGCTCTTGTAGAGGACCTTAGCTTGATTTTCAACACCCACATGGCAGCTCACAACTGTGTATAATTCCAGAACCAGGGGACCTGATTCTTTCTCTGACTTCCACAGGCACTACACACATGTGGCGCACAGACATACATGCAGACAAACAGCTATACACATGAACGTTTAAAAATGAAGAAAAATAGAGTAGTTGAGGCTGCCCCATCTGAATGTTTATCCTCTAGATCTTGAATTGGACAATATTGTCTAGACCTCCCCACCCAGTAGATTTTGTGTGGTACTTTTCTTTTTGTCTTTGGGGCACTGTATTCTTATGAAGTCACTTGGCATGATTTCTAGCATACTTAATTAGTCACCCTTTGGTGCTCTTCTTGACTTAATTTATCTTTCTAAAATGTTAATGCTGAAATTAAAAGTTGTAAGATTGCTAGCTGCTTCTTTTTCATGGATGAGTTCCCCATGCGTCTCTGTGGGGATAATAGTCTTCCAGCTTCTAAAGTCAGCTTCCACCTCTCCTGTCAAACTCTTTTCTTGGGTATTAGTTCTTTCTTAAATTAATCAGGTTTGGTGCCTGTCTCTCAAAGGGCTGAGTCACCAGAGTGTCTGTCCCTTCTTGGTTGTCCTACTACTCCCTGTGCTGTTTGGTGTCTTCTGACATCAGGAGGGGGTGTGAGAGTGACTGCCACATGCTCTGTAAGCTGGGAACCTTGGCTTCTCCTCCAGATGGTGAATTCCCTGTCGACTTTGGGCTGGTTCCTTTTTGGAGCGTGCTCTGCTGTCCTGCCCCTAAGCCCACAAGTTGACTTCACATGCACCCCTAAAGTAGCTGCAACTGTATACCGCCAGACTCCCTCCTGCTTGATCCTGGCTGACTCAGCTGTACACATACACAAGTGTGCCCAGAAACCAGACCACAGCAGCCTTCTGCTGAGTTTTGCTGCCCATATTTGGTTTGTGGCTCTCTGTGCCTCCAGTTCCTCAGGAATGTGCTCTGTGTCTCTCAGAAGTCTAACCGTTCTTGAGCAGCAGCCTCATTTGGTTTCTATCCAGCTTCCCATCTCTGGATCCTTCAGCTGGCCCCGCTCTGCACAGTCTCAGGCATGGATGCTGAGATGGGTGATACTGAGAGGCTCGCCTGGGCTCCTCGTTAGGTCAGATTCAACAGGCTCTCATACCTCATGCTTTTTGACTTGCTGGTCTTTCTGCTTGCCACCCTGCTCCCCGAGACACATTGACTTGCCTTTAGTGGTGGGCTAGTAGACAGAACATCAGGATACTTCATCAATACATCCAGCATGGAAGATAAATTAGTCAGTGAAAATCCAGGGATGGCAGAAGACACCAGAGAAGGAAAAATATTGTACATTCTTTTTTGTTTGTTTGTTTTTTGTTTTTTTGTTTGTTTGTTTTTATGAGACAGGGTTTCTCTGTATTGTTTTGGAGGCTGTCAGTCCAGCCCAGCCTCAAACTCACAGAGATCCGCCTGCCTCTGCCTCCCAAGTGCTGGGATTAAAGGTGTGCGCCACCACCGCCTGGCTGTACATTCTTTCTTTGTTTTTTTTTTGCATGTGTGTTTGCATTATGTATGTGAATGTATGGAATGTATGTATGCATGTTCATACATGTGGAGGTTCATGTGTGAAGGTACGTGTGTGTGTATGAGTATATAGTTTGTGTGTCATATATGTGCATGTATGTGTGCATGTTCACATGTGTGGGCTCACAGTGTAGGTATGTATATCTCTATGTAAGAAGGAGTGTATGTAGGTGTGTGTGTGTACCTGTGTGGTGGTATATGTGTATAGGCCCAAAGTTGTCAGTGTTTTCCTTGGTCATTCTCCACCTTGCTCATTGAGGCAGAGTCTCTTTCTGAACCCAGAGCTCATTGATTCTGGCCAGTCTAATCCAGCTAGCTAGCTTGTCCTGGTGATTCCCTTTCTCTGCCCCTCACATGCTGGGATTATAGTTGGCTACTTTGTCTGCCCAGCTTTTATGCCCAACTTGTTCCAAACTCCAGTTCACACATTTGCATGATACGCACTTTATCTGTTGAGCCATCTCCTTGTCCCCTGTACAATATTTGAATCATAGCGTAAGTCAAAATTTTCTTAGTTTCTATGGAGACTAATAGAGAGAATGTGATTTTAAAATGTACATAATGCACCTGGGCCTGGTGAAACACTCCTGTAAACTCAGAAAGCAGGAGGTACAAGCAGGAGAATCACAAGTTCTAGTGCAGGTGGGGCTATATAAAAAGTCTAAAGATAACCTGGGAAACTTAGTAAGACCCTGATTCATAAAACCAAGAGCTAGGGTGATAGCTCAGCGGTAGAGCATTTACCTGCCCTGTGTAAGGTCTTGGGCTCCATCCTCAGCATTTAAACACACACAGACACAGACAGACAGACAGACAGACAGACAGACAGACAGACAGACAGACACACACACACACACACACACACACACACACACACACACACACCAGAGTGGATCCTAACATTAGGACACCAGTCATGTGCTATGAGCAATTTGTGACTGGAGCCCCTAGGCTGTGGGGGGGAGGTCTCTTATCATTTGAATGTCTTGTTGCCTAGTCCTGAGTCCCATGAGAACAGGAGTGTCATCTATTCTGTCAATCTGTTCCTTGTCTTTATCAGCTGTGTCTGCTTATGAGAGACAGACATTTTCATCAAAAATATTTATTCTGAAAAGTTTTTAAGTTAATTTTTTACATTTGTTTATTTGTTTGTGTGTGGATGTGCACATGTGTGGCAATCAAAGGAAAACTTGTAGGAGTAGCCTTCTTCCTTCCATGTGGTTCTGGAAATCGACCTCATTAGGTCATCAGACTGATACAGGCACCTTTGCCCTCTTAGCCATCTGTTTTGGCCCCAATTCTATTCTTTTTTTTTTTTTTTTTGGTTTTTGGAGACAGGGTTTCTCTGTATTGTTTTGGAGGCTGTCCTGGAACTCGCTCTGTAGACCAGGCTGGCCTCAAACTCTCAGAGATCCACCTACCTCTGCCTCCTGAGTGCTGGGATTAAAGGCATGCATCACCAACACCCGGCTGGCCCCAATTCTTAATTTTAAAGATTACATTAATGTATGTGTGTGTGTGTTTGTGTACTCATGCATGCACACTTGTGTGTTCTTGTGCTGTGGCCTACAGTGGAAGTCAGAGGATAATGTGTACAAATTGTTTCTTTCCTTCTACCACATGGTCTGGGGATCAAATTCAAGTCATCAGGCTTGGTGGCGATTGCTTTTGTCCATTGAGTCACCTCACTGACCCCCAAAATACTTCTTAAATAAATGAATGAATAGAAGTAACATGTCAATAAACCAGTACAGGATAGAAAGTCTTTTGGGCTCAGGAGAGTTGTGCGTTGAACTTAGACCCACTTCATTCCACTTTCTAAGGATGGTCCAGGTATAATGCTCCATCCACTAATGCTCAACATGTGCTGTCTTAGCCTCAGAAAAGACTTTAAGGGAGGCTCAGGGATCCAGAAGTGTCATTCAATCAAAGGAGAGTGGCCTGGTGCAGTTGGTGGCAGTAGGGCAGGCTGTGCACATGGAAGCAGGCTAGGAAGCTGAGAGCACTGATGCCAGGGCCAGAATACAAAGCTGATACCAGTTCTCCAAGTAGCATCAATAGAGACCAAGGTTCAAGCCACAATTTTGTGTGAGACATTCCACATCTAAACCATAGCACATACTTTAAGACATATACTAACTCCTGGCAGCTTTGTGTCAAAGGTCACCAGTTCCCTGCTGATCAATGACAGTGGTCACCCAGCATGTGCCTTCGGTTCTTCTGGAGACATCTGCTCTGAGTTGGTACCTGGCAGGGAATTGGGGTGGTCAGTAGCCTAGCCCTGGACTCAGCCAGTCATCATCTGAACACTAGCTCTGCCATGACCAGCTGTGTGTCCTTGGGCTTGTTCTTCACCCCACTGAACCAAAATGATGCCATTTACTGCACCATGGTGTCAGAGGCACACAGCCAGTCTAGCTGGTTCCTGGTATACAGCAGCAGCTTGGCGCTTGAAGCTGCTGTGGCTGTTGCTGATGACATGGATATTGTTACTAGGTCTTTGTGAGACCTAGGTATTTGATAGCCACCCAGTTTAATCTTAGCCCACCAGAGAGAGGATACTTGTGGACAGTTACTGGGCTCCTGGCCATCAAACTCTAGCTACATTTTAGCAGTGATTTCTATAACCATGCCTTCCATTTTCAGCATCCAGTGCCTTACCCCTCCCAATTCCCCATGGGGAGGGCACTTTTGTGTAATCATCAGCTCAGTCCCTGTGATGTCTGCACTCTGGCCTCCACATGGATGGCTTTGGTTCCTGAACTTAGCATTTGAATCATTGAGCACGGAAATTGAATATAATCAAGTCTTAAAGTAAAGTATAAAGTAAATTTTCCCAGAGAAAATTCTGGGTGACAACTTCAAAGCCCCTTATAGATCCCACAGCAGGTCACTGCTTTGAAGTGCAGGCAGATTGGCTTTCAAAGTCATCATCCCAGCCAAGGTCCTGCTCTCTCAGATGGAAAGGTTCTGAATGGTTCTTTCTAGAGGGAATACTGCTTCTTAGCTCAGCTCCCCTTGCTTCTGGAACAGATGGTTTCAAATCACATGAGCATCCTAGGTTTCTCAGGTCTTTCACCTTCTGCAAGCAAATGGAGTATTTTTCTTAGTGAAAAAAGTACAGCCAAGTTGAGTTTAGGTGCTCTCGCTTGTGCTTTGTGTCTGTGTATTTATATACTTGTGAATACAGTTTGTTCTTTACATTTACCTTGATTTATGGAAGAAAAAGGAGGCAGATTGAAACAGGGATTATTGAAATTCACGTTCTTTGGCATGAGAAATACTACTAAGCGATGAGTTGACATTGAGCCACGGGAGTTGCCATTTGCTTTTCTTTCTGCCAGCTCCCCCAGCACACTGTGTGCTCCAGGGAGGGCAGCGGTCTTGTCTCCTTGTTTCTGCTGTGACCAGCCATCAGCACAGCATCCCAACAAACATGGGCACATGCTTGATGACACCCTGATTCATAAAATCAAGAGCTAGGACTGTAGCTCAGTGGTAGAATACTTACCTGCCAAGTACAAAGTCCTGGGTTCCATCCCCAGTGTTTAAACTCTCTCTCCTCCTCTCTCTCTCTCCTCTCTCTCTCTCTCTCTCTCTCTCTCTCTCTCTCTCTCTCTCTCTCTCTCTCTCTCTCTCTCTCTCTCTCTCTCTCTCTCTCTCTCTCTCTCTCTCTCTCTCTCTCTCTCTCTCTCTCTCTCTCTCTCTCTCTCTCTCTCTCTCTCTCTCTCTCTCTCTCTCTCTCTCTCTCCCTCCCCCGAATGGGTCCTACAGTTAAGGCACAGGTGGTGTGCTATGAATAGTTTGTGACCCAGGAGCTATTGGACTGCAGGGGATCTCTTATGGAATGGCTGCCTTTGTTATTGGTGGAAAACTACCTCATCATGTTTCCTGTTGGTGGGTCATGTTGAATGTAGTAGAATCAGTCTTACCTTGGTTTTCTAGAAGGAGTAAGGATTAGTGGCTAAGAGAAGTCCCACCTCTGTCACTTAATCACTGTGAGAAGTCACACAAACTGAGGGACTCTGTTCTTTAGGGATCCCCATAAATATAGGGCTGCAGTCACATAAATGTGGAGTTTCAGCCCTGTGAAAGTGGCAAAGTAACAAAAGAATCCTGCTCATTGGCCCTGGCTGTATGCTTCCCGATGTTTCATGCCTGGAACTGACTGTGGATGGAGCTTCACTCTGCTTTGGATGTCAGTGTAGACTGCTCTGGACACTAGGACGGAGTGGATTTCAAGGACAGTGATAGGACTCACTCTCCTGATTGACTCCCATTTGTTTATTTGAAAAGTAACTGGAACTGGGTGGTCGATGGTGCATGCCTTTAATCCCAGTACTCAGGAGGCAGAGGCAGGCAGATCTCTGAGTACAAGGCCAGCTAGTTCCAGGACAGCCAGGGCAACACAAAGAAACCCTGTCTCAGAAAAAAAAGTATCTAGGCCAAAAACTAGAGGTTCATGAACAGAGAGGGCTTTTCCTAGGAACTTAAGCTTACCACATTGAGAGTTATTACCAAGTTCAAGTGGTCACAGGGCTTCAGGTTTTTTTGTCTGACCGGGTTATTGTAAAGATCAAATAAGAAGGACCTGAATAATATACAGAGCTCAAAACATTACTCTGCTATAAAAGATTGAGTTGAAACTCAGGCTGCCATTCAACGGCAGGCCACCCAGGAACTCGTGTTTCCCTGGAGAGAAAGAGTAAGTCTGTTGACCTCCAACTTCCCACCACAGCCAGTCTTTGATGACATGAGCCAGGACCTCAGTGTGGCTCCCATGAGGCCTGCACAGACCACCTCAGCATTATCTTTTGTGTGTGCTTGCTCTGATGCAGGGCTTCTTGACTTCAACAGTCAGCACTGTGACCAGATCATTCTTTGAAGTGGACGTTGTCTGCTGCCTTCCAGCAAGTCCAGCATCATCATTGCTGGCTCCCACCGACTAGCTGTCAGTAGCACTCTATCAATACATGTTGTGATTAAAATGGTTCTAGTCATTGCCAAATATCCTCTTGTTAGGGAGAACTTTGCCTAGTTCAGACCATGGCTTTATTATCACAATACAGTATATCAGGGGCATGGGAAGTCAAATGATGGAGGTCAAAGTGTGGCTTAGAGGAGTAAATTAACTTGCTAAGGGTCCTGTCATTGAAGTCACCTCCTCTAAGGTGTGGAGGTGTGTCCTGTCTCTGTTAAGTCACCATTCAGGCTTCTGTGTAATTTATTACTCATTCAGCAAGTATTTACCAGGTCCCCCTATGCTCTAGACAGTAGTGCAGTTGCTAAGTAACCAGCCCTGTTGCTGATACAGGGTAGGACTATATCTGGAAAAGACACAAATTTATATTGTGTTCCTACTGCTGCTGCTGCAACTTCCCATTGCTTTAGCAGCTTACCTGTCAGTGCTGGGAATCAGAGGTTCAAACTCACAGTCATCAGACTGAACTCAAGGTGTTGGTAGGCCTGTGCTTCTTCTGCAGGCTCCAGGAGAGAATCTGGGTCCTAGAGGTGCCTGCTTTGCTTGGCCCCATCCTTCCCAGCCAGAGTCAGCACCCTAGCATCTTTTCTCCTTCCTGATATCTGCTTCCTTTCTTAGATCTTGCTGACATTGCTCTTCTTGCCTCTCATGATTGCTCCATAATTCCTTCAGGCCTGCCTCGGTGATCTCAGCAAATCCTTAATTTCATCTGGGAAGGCCCTTTATCTTAGAAGGGCACATGTTCACAGGTTCCAGGAAACATCTTTTGGGGACTTTGATTAAGTCTACTATTATCCGTTCTCTGCTCCTTCCTCCACCCCTGCCACCCGTAGCAAGATTCACATCTGTTTTACCTGCGGAAAAACAGACATAAGCATTTGAAACGAGGAAGAAAGGAATGATCAACTGCATCAGTTTCAAAGAGTCTGGGCCTGGGAGTAATTCTCTGTGTCCACCCTCCGCCCTCAGTCCCCGTGCAATCCTCAGGGTCTTGCTTCCTCGGGGAGGACAGCATGTGTTTGCAGATGAGTCTCTCCTGACCCTTTCCTGCTTGTAGACCGGGCACTCTGGCAGCCTTTTTTCATTTGGCCTTTCATGCTCCTGCCCCGTTCTAGCCTAAGTGTTTCTGGCAGCTGGATGTTCTGAGAAACCGCATGGGTTACTATGGATGTCTGTAGGACTCCCTCCATTATATTCTCCTTTTCCTCCCCAATCTTTAAACAAGGCCCTGGTTCCCTTCCCCTGGCAGCGCTTCCCTCAGGTCTGTCTCCTGCCTCCTGTATTTTGCTCAGTCGCTAGAGGAAAGCAGACCTTCAGCTTGCCACTTAGAAATCTGTCCGGCTAAATACCACAGTTTTCACACTGACAAGCTCTGTGTCCTATGGAACCTCAGGACACAGTTGCCTCAGAATTTTTTACATGACAGAATCCCTTTCATCCAGCTACTTGTCCCTCATTTTTCTGAGCCCACGCTAGTGGTAGCTGTCACATCCAGGTTTCCATTATCAGTCAGTTTGAGTTTCTCCACTTATTTTAAATACATGCGCAATAAATACAAATGATGGTAACAGACTAACCCCTGAAAGCAAATCCCAGTGAAATGCTTCCTCTTATAAGAATGGCCTTGGCCGTGGTGTGTCTTCACAGTAGTATAACAGTGACTAGTACAGTACCATAAGTACCACTCCCTCATGTTCATTCCCCTCTGACCTTTGTTTTCCCATCTTCAAAGCAACAGCAGCATCCTGGTTGAGATGCTGCTGGACATTGGGTGGAGTCATTCTTTGGTTCACACAAGTCCTTACCTTTCGTGTCTCCTGGACTGTCTGCAGGAGCTGAGGAAAGGTTTGGGACTCAGCACAGACTTCCAGACGCAGGAGGATGGCTCCAGTGATGAGTATGACTCTATTGAGGAAGACGTCCTCTCTGAAACTGAGACTGAGGACCTCGTACTGCCAGGCCACACCAGCGATGAGTTCCCTCTTCCCAGCCAGGACACAGTGCAGAAGGATGTCCCCAAGGACCAGGAGCTGGAAGGCTGGCCTCCCCAGGGCACTGACACCCTTGTGGTGATGGAGTTTAACCCAGCTTCTAAAAGTGAGCTCTTCTCATGAACCGTTTTTGTCCTCAAGTGTCTCTGTATCTAGTCCTAGGACTCAGTGTTCCACAGTGCTTAGAAACTCAGCTCAAGTGAATTACAGGCCAGAGGAAACCATCTGGGCCCTGTGTACTGAGAGGGAAAGGTACCCAAAGGCTTCCAAAGACCATGGGCTTTCCCATGGGAACTGCTCCAGTGCATTGTGGGAAATGCAGTGGCATCTGCATGTCACCTGACTAATGCAAAAGGGACCTTGGATAGCTTTAAAGGTCAGAGCTGGAGTTGGGCCCGTTGCCCTCCCCTTCCCTCCCTACTGTCCTCTACCCCTCTTTTCTTCTGCCCTCTTTCCTCCTCTCCTCCCTCCGATTGCTTCCCCTCTTCTATCAGATTGCCCTTGAGTTAGTTCCATTCTGAGGCAGCTTTCAGGCATTCAGAGGCTCAGTTGCCTTCACAAGAGATGAGGGCCTTGTAGAATCACTGGAAAGTCAGCTTCTCTTTCCCAAATGTCCTAGGTTTGGCTCTCAAAAGTCCCAGTAGAAAGTCTGCCGCAGGTCACTGCCATTTCAGAACTAATCTCTTAGGGGCAGATGAGCCAGGCTAACCGATGACTAAGGGGTGTGACTGCCTCCACCCATTTGTGTGCAGAGGAGGTATGGCTAAGGAGAACCCAAGGGCATAAGAAGGAAGAGAGGCAGGCAAAAATATCCGCTGTACGCATGAGGAGGCTTTTCAGAAAACAACCTCGCAAAGCAAAGGGAACACTATTGAGTGGGACTTGAGTGGTGGGGACACCTACTGAAGGTGACCTCTGACAGTTACAGCAAGATGCAGGTGGGGGTGAGCTGCTGCAGCTGGAGTAGTTGGACCACCTCAGTGGAGGTAGTGCTGGCCTGATGCTGGGCCTGCCTTCCCGAGGCAGGGGCTCCAAGGGGGCAGGGCGCTTGGTGTGCAGAAAGAAGCACAGGAGAAAGGGTCAGTGTGGCTGGAGCCCATTGAGTGTGAACAGGTGTAGTGTGTTAGGGAACACCTCAGGCTTGGGTAGTCTCCTCCTGAGTTTGCTTGGTTCCCAGGTCAGGAGGTCCCTGAGTGCAGGGACCAAAACTGTCCCTGACTTTGGGGTCTTTAGGTGTTTTCTCATCTGCCCTCCATCCCCCACCTTACACTTGTCCTGTGTGTGACTTTCGTGGCCTTCAAAGGTTTGACATGCTAATTATACACCTTCCCATATACACTAAGATACAGAAATGAATCCAGGGCTGGGCCTGTGGCCCAGAGTGGAACACTTGCCTACCATGCCTGACCCCTGGTTCTGGATTCTGTCTCAAGCACCACATACACACACTTCATAAAAACCATCTTCCATCTGGCATCAGAAGTCACCTATGTGCCACTAGTGCTAAGGACTCTTTTGGAAACTGATCTGAAGAGGGTAGGTTTGGCAGCAGTCTGAACCTCCAGCCAGGACAGGCTTCAGCCCCCAAGCCATCATCAAGCCGGTGTCTGTGCTGTTCCCACACCTGGTGGCCCTGAAAACACCCCAGTCACTCACAAGAACCCCTCTTCATCATCACCGTGCACACCTTTGCCAGCCTTGTCCTCTGACTCTGCTTCGTGACTCTTGTCTGCATCCTTTTTTCTTGTGTGTTCAGCCGTCCTTTTCTCCAGCTAGACTATGAGCCCCTGAGGACTGCAAATGCATTTTACTGTGCCCCTTCATCTCCAAAATGCCCTTGCTGGCACCATTACTTGCACCAATTAAAGCCAGTGCCTCATTGGCTTGCCAACCACCCTAACTTTCTGAGCAAGTACCTCACCACAGTGGCTGTCTGTGTGCGTGCATACACTGTTAGATAAGGACCTCTCCTGTCTGGAAGTGTTAGCCACTGAAACCTGTGTCTGTTCCAAAGCATCTCATTTATCTATCCAGTGCTGTCTACAGATTCCCACAATCTCCTACTAGCAAGGTTCCTGGTACAGAAGAATTTGATAAATATTTGCTGAGTGAATAAGTGAACACATGATAAACAAATGTCTGAGAGGAATGCCCTGATCTCTCTGTGCTCAGTGACTGACAGAATCCATTGCTTCCCCACAGGTAATAAAATGGAGAGGGTTTTGTCTGCTAAGCGGAAGGACAATGCTGAAATCTTCATCCCTAGCAAACCAGAGTCAGTCCTGAATCTACAGCCCCCCACTGTGTTCCCAGACCAGGAGAGGGCCTGCTCCAGTAAGAGTTGGGGGCCCTGAGTGAGTTGGGGGGTGAGGTGGGTACTCCCAGTGGGCACCATGATGAACTTCTTGCTTCTTCCTTACACTCTTTGGAGGACTGAGCTGGCCCTGAGTCACTTGCTGCAGTTTTTTTCTAGTGCTCATTAAAGTGTTATTATTATTAATATTTTAAATTACTTTTTCCAATGCTGGATGTGAAATCTATATTTCACTTCCTTTTCCTGTGATAAAGTAACCTGACAAAAGCAACTGAGGGAACAGGGGGCTGATTTTGGCTCACAGCTCTAGGTTATGGTACCACAGTGGCAGGGAAATCAAGGCAGGAATTTGAAGCAGCTAGTCATCATAGTCAAGAGCAGAGAACAAACGTATGCATGCTCACACTAGGCTCACTTTCTCCTTTTTTATACAGTCCAGAACCCAAACCCAGGGAAGGTGCCACCTGCTTCTTGGCTGGGTCTTCCCATATCAATAAACGTAATTAAGACAATTGCGCACAGACATGCCCAACCTGACCTAGACAGTCCCTCATTGAGGAGGACTGTCAGATTGGCAATTAAAACCAAACATCAGAGAGTCCATATAGTCCATAACCCAGCCCTGACATGTTTATTACTTCTCATAGTTAATATTACCACCTTTAAAAGGTAAACCATATTTGAACTAAAGCCATTGTGCTCACTGGATTTGTTCCTAGTGCTCCCTGAACAAAATGCCATCCACGGTGTTGACAGGGACATCCTCCACATGTGTAGGGAAGGTTGCTTCAGGCTCCCTTCCATCTGTGGCAGAATGACCCTTGCTCGTGACACTCTCCTGTGTGTGTATCTCTGTGTCCACACTTAGAAGTTCTGTAGACACCGGTCACGTTGCTTCCACCCCGTGGCCACATTTTAGCTTCATCATTTGCAGAGACCCTTTTTTATAATGAAGACACATCCACATACACTGGGACTAGGATTCAGTAGGTGTGTCTGTGTGTCTGTGTGCTGCTGGCAACTAAACCCAGAACTTTGCAAATAATCGGCAAGTGCCACTGAGCCATACCACCAGCCCATCAACATCTTCTTAGAAGATAGGATTCAAGATTCAACTCAGCTGTCACTTTGGCAGAGCCTAATTAACTAATTCATAATATTCTTCTCTCCAAGTTTAGTCATAGTCTAACAGATTGAGGAGATGGAGATGAAGGATAGGGAAAAGCACAGGAAGTGAGAGCCCAGGAATGGATGATGGGCGCCTGAGGTGAACATTTTCCTTGCTCCATGGCAAAAAACACACAAATGCACAAGAATCCACTTATTATCCAGTTGTCTATAGAAAATCTGAATACCCATAGTTTCTGGGAATTGTTTCATAGATGCTGTTTGAGATGGAGTCCTCCCTCTGAATAGCTTTATCAGTCTTAAAGGTGGTTACCATGAAAGGTTATTGTTTTGTCACAGTCTGTTCAGTGCCTGGCTCCCTCTAGCAGCCAAATTATCTCAAGTTTGATAGTTAAGGTGAAAGTGGAAAGCTGGCCTTGTCACCACAGTGTCCTGGGTACAGTTGGATCACAGTGGCCAAAGCTGTCTTCAGAAGGCAGCAGACTGATGGCCAGGCCAGTCATAGATGGAGCCCCAATGAAGCACTTGGCTTTGTTATGGGAATAGGTTACAGGGGAAGTGCGTTTCAAATCACAGAACTAGGCAGAGAAAGCTGGAATGGTCACACCACTAAGGGTACAAGGGCCAAAGACATCCAGAGAAGGCATTAAAGTCAGCATCCCGTTGTCCCATTGATTCTGAGGGTGGGCTGCTCATGCATGTTACCTTGCATTTGGGTGGTTGGTTGTGGTTTGGGTGTATAAAAAGGGTTCTTAAAGTCTTTCTTGCAAATGAGCCTTTCATTGTTATAGTTGCGTCTTATCACTTGTGTCACTTTTTGCCATCATAGAGCTTCTCAGTTTCTTTTGGCTAGTGTTTATGGCCTGTATCTTTATTCCATTCTTTTCCTTTCAAACTTCCTACATCTCTATATTTAGGTTTGTTTTTTTTGTTATAAACAGGATGCAGTTGGTTTTTATTTTTATCCTCCAACAATCTGTGTTTTAATGGGAGCATTTAGTCCACTTACACTTAATGTAATTGCTGATGCATTTGAGTTTAAACCTGCAATCTTATTATCTGCTTTTTTATTTGCTTTGCCTGTTTCATGTCCCTCTTTCTTCCCTCTCTTGCCTTCCTTTGAACCAATTGCCTTGTATTATTCCTCTTTTCCCTCCCTATTAGATTGTTAGTTATACATTCTTTTATTCTTTTACTCATTACTAGAGATTGCAGTGTGCATCCCTGACTTATTAGCATCTACTTTAAATTAGCGCATTTACCGCTTCTAATTCAGCAGAAAGACCTCCAGCTCGAAATGTTTGTTCCCCTCCTATTTTAAATGCTATCGTATTCATTTTAACTCCCTGCAGATTTCAAATCCCATTAGACATTGTTATTATTGTTGTTGTTTTATACAGTCAGTAGTAATTTTGAGGCATCTACACTGTTGACCTTTCCACACTCCTCACTCCCAGCTGTTTCCAGGTCACTCTCACTGTCATCCCCTTGAGTCCATCACAAGCTATGCTCAGCTTCTCAGCTTCCAGCTTGTGGTAGCTTTACTCGGCATCATGAGCACCTTGAGGAGGAGGCCTCTCAGGTGTCTTCACCTTCTGCCTGCCCGCTTCTGGCCCTGTGCTATTTCTTTCACAGTCCCTTCCCTCCCCGTAGGGACACAAATCAACTTCTGTAATATTCAGACCAAGTTTTCTAGTATTGCCTCAGTGAAACACTGTCAAATTAGGTAGTCTGCCATTCTAGAGTAGTAACCCATTGCCTGCACTCTCTAAAACTTTGTTTCTCCTTTTATCCCTTTCCTTTGGCCAAGCTTATACCACTGACCTTGTGTCAATTAAACATGCATTTAACATGGAGCACCATTCTCCTCACTCAGTGTCATGGTCCCTCGTTCTCAGTCATGGCCTGTATTATTCCAGTGTTTATTCATATGTTTTATAAAACTAATGGGGTATCCTTCCAAAGACTTCTTGTCTTCTAGAAGGTGGGTGAAAATTTCTTTCTGATGTAGAAAGTTTGCTGTCCCTGTTTTCAGGATCTAGGGAAGTGATATATCAGAGACACTTTTCCCAGACAAGCCACCAGCTGCAGAAATACAGTAACACTGTCAGTGTGAGTTGAGTTAGGGGATGCTGACAGCCCTGTAGTTAGTGTTCCTGTCCAAACACCTGCAGCACAAACACCATATGTCAGAGTCCAGAGTCTCGTAACATTACAGTCAGTCCTTATTAACAGCGAGTGATAAAAGTTCATGCTGGCTGGGTATGCTGGGGTATGCGCACCTGCATCCACACTGACTGGCTGTGCTGGGGTATGTGCACCTGCATCCACACTGACTGGCTGTGCTGGGGTGTGACTCCTGCATCCACACTGACTGGCTGTGCTGGGGTGTGACTCCTGCATCCACACTGACTGGCTGTGCTGGGGTATGCGCACATACAATCCCAGTACCTGAAAAGTGGAGCAAGAGAATCAGGCATTCAAGGTCAGACCCAGATACATAGTGAGTTTGAGACTAGCCTGGATTATATGATATCCTGTCTCAAAAAGAAGAAAAAAATCAGACACCCTTAGTAACAAAGGAAATGAATTGATGACTCACCATAGACACAAAAGGCCTAGATCTGTGGGTGGAGTCTTAGGCCTGTTAGGTTCAGGTGCTCACTCAGGCTGTTATCAGAAAGCTATTTCTTCTGAACTCAGATCAAGTAGTTATCAAACTTGAACTTGCCTCAGACCCCTACTCTCTGACTCAGTGGCTCTAACCCCTAAGCATTTGTTCCCAAGGGTTCTTGAGTGCCTCTGAGGTTACTGGTGAGGAAACTCACTGTGGGAACCACTTCTCTCACACAGACAGGCAGGCATTTTATCGCTGGCCAGAGATGGCCCAGGGGCTCCAGGCTCCCTTTCTCTCTGCTCTACAAGCCCAAGTGGGGGAAAGAATGCTCCATTCCTAATATTCACAGTGTGCATTCAAGAGTCCCATGTTTCTTGGCCCAGGCTGTGGCCTCTGTGGGCAGGGAGAAATGTATTAGTCTGAGAAGACTATAGAAGGAATGTCTCCCTGAATGACACTATGGGTGCTGTGAGGGTCCCTGTATGAGGACAACAGAAGCAACTGCATGCTCCTTCCACATGGGAGCCAGGCACACAGGCCATTGCTCTAGAGCGGCTGTGGCTGTGGCACTGTGCTGACAGAGACAGCTTAAGGGAAGCAGGATTTAACTTGGCTCATGGTTTATTCCCTGGTCACTTAGATTAGTTTCCTGGTCTGTTTTAAAACAGAACATCATGGTGACTGGAGTGTGCCAGGGAACAACTTCTTCATGATAGACAGGAAGCAGAAGAAAAAAGAATACAGAAAGAGACCAATGCAAAATCTAGGCCCCAGGGATGTGTCCCTAGGGGTCCACCCCATTCAACTAGTCCCTACCTTTCACCGGTTCCCAATAATGCCATCCTATTTCCATCAAGAGGTATTCTGTTCATTGGGTTAGAACTGTAAAGGTGTAGACTTTTTGGGAAACTTCTCACAGGCTCACAGGTGTGTTTCACTAATCTCCCAGGCAGGTCTTAAGCTAATCACGTTGACAATTAAGATAATCATCACAGGCTTACATGTCAATGGGTGTATTAGATAAACCTCACATCACCAGCTTTTCCTGGTATTTTGGTTCTTAGAGCAGTGCATTAATGAGGGTTCGCTAGAGCAGCAGTTCTCAACCTGTGGGTCACAATGCCTTTGGGGGTCAGATGACCCTTTCACAAGGGTTGCATATCAGATAACCTGCATAAGTGAGATATTTATGTTACAGTTCATAACAGTAACAAATGTCATGATCTGAAGAGGAAATGTCCTCTTGATCACATTTGTAGAATGACTGATTGATCTGCAACTGGTGGTTCTGTTTTGGGAGGTTCTGGAAACTGGAAGGAAGTAGGTCTCTGGAGACATGCCTGGACAGGAACTTTGTCACGGCCCTTTCCCTCCCTCCCTGCTCCTCACCTGCCACGAGGTGGACAGCCTCCTCTTCCCTGTCCTGCTGTCACAGAGTTCTGCCTTCTGTGGGCCTGGAATCAGCAGGACCAGGGCAGTGGGCTCAAGCACTGAGGTCTTTCCTCCTCTTGTTTCCATAAGGTATCCATCTGGTCATGACAATGAGGGAGCTGACTAGTACAGCATCTCTCTGCAGTTCCTTAAACGAAGTAGTGGAAATCCCATAGCATATAACCCACACATATTTCACTGTGGGCTGCTGCTTTGTGATCAACACAATGGATGCTTGCTGATCTCACATTTCATCTTTGCCACTGCAGCGGGTTCCTGGGTGACCCTGTAAGACCCTGGAATGTAGTCAGAGGCAGTTTTGTGTGGTTCTGAATTGGAGCCTGTTGAGGCACAGCTGGTAGAGAGGTGGGTCACCTTGTGGTAGGTTCTTTGTGATGTGTTGAATTCATGGCTAATCTCCTGGATGACATACCTTTTGTTTTTAGCTAAGAGAAGAAAGCCAAGCACCAGGGAAGCAAAGGGAGTGGAGTTACTGGAAGAGGGATGGTTCTCCATCCAAAAAGAGCAGTTTGGGATAAATTAAAATGTGCAATTTGGCTTTTGCTAGTGGCTCAGATTTACGAAGCGAATAAATCCACTATTCCCTGGATCCAGTATGAGAATAAATTCACCATCATGTGGCATGCAGGCCAGTGTTGGTACAAGTGAGAGATGAGGGCGTCAAAAAGAGTTAAAAGGTGGTGCAGTGGGAGGCAGCACACAGGAAGGTGGTGACTGTTGGCGGTGTGACTTGGGGGACTCAGATTCTGCAAAGGCAGCATCTGTACAGTCCTGGTGGTAGAACTGCAGAGCCACCTCTTCCTAGAGAATGGTGACAATTTTACACCCACCTTCTTAGCACACTGTTGCTAGAAGGGCACAAACAGCGCCTGTGATTGAGGGTCACCATGTAGCTCTTTGGGCACTGATTTTTGAGTGTTGTGGACAGGAGAGAGGGGAATGTAGTTAAGGGCTGTGAGAGTTTTGGAGTCTGCTTGTTCTGGCCAGCGTCCTGTCAGCGGGACATTTTCTGATGCTCATTGAGCTCCATACATGGTCCTAGCTGCTTATGCACAAGACCATCTGGAGGGTCTACAGCAGGTGTGGGCTATTCAGCTGCACTTTACTAGTTAGAGATTGTATGCCAGTCACAAGCACTGAGATTTACAGGGCTTGAGACTGAATTTCCCCCACCCATTCCTTTGACAGAAGTTAGAATGCCAGATGCAGACATGCAACAGTGAAAAAGATGGCCTTAAAGAGTAGCTGAGGCCCATGGGGTTCCCCAGGAACCCAGAGGCAAGCTCTCCAGCCTTCTGCCAACCATTTTTAACCTTGCTGCCCCATTCCAGCCCCCGATCATTCTTCAGCATGCCAAGCTCTGCCTTCCTTAGGGACTTAGTACCTGCCACTCCTTGGTCTGCAGCAGCCTCCCCTCAGATGTCCTGTTCTCTGACTTCATCTTGAGTGATGGTTATGTCCACTTCCATCATGTCTTAGTGCCTCCATATCTGTCCCAGCCTTATGATGGTAAGGTAAGTGAAGGCTGGGGATAGCTGTCCCACCTACTGCCATTGCCTTGTACCCAGAGCAGTGTCTCCCTCAACCAGGGAAGCCCACAGTATGGTGTGGTTTAGGAGCCTGCCACTCTGCACCTCTCACCAGGCTGGGAGCCCATTCCTGCCTCAGCCACTCTGGAGTCATAGTGAGTCTGTGGGTTAGGATCTCCAGCAGAGAAGTCCAGCACCACTGCCTTAAGCTTCCTCCCTCCTTGTCTCCTGTCTCATGGCTATTTTAGGTACACAAGGCTTTTTACACTGCATGTGGTCCTCACCACCATTTCACCATTTACCCACCGGCATTCCCATAATGTTAAGTATTCCACATTCACATATATAGCGTTTATTTGTCTCCATGAGGAGCACGGTCCCATGTGGGGAATGGTGGCTGGCATTAAGAAGCACACCTATCCCGGGCACGTGACTGGCAGGCAGTCTCGCTGCCCAGTGCCAGTCTCGATTCCCTGGCCTTTTCAGTCACTCTGACTCTGGCTGGCTGAGAGGGGCATCCTCTACCTTGGCTTAGATCCCAGAAGAGCCATCAGCTCTGTCTAGCAGTCCCTGGCTGTGCTATCCAGATTCTTCATTCTGTGACAGATACCCTAAGAGGAACAGTTGAGAAGCTGAGAGGTTTTTTTTTAATACACAGCTTCAAACATTTCAGTTCTGGTCACTTGGCTTTGTTACATGACCATTTTTAAAGGTGGGGGCTGGCATCATGGCAGAAAGGGTGGAGTGTCACAGAGCTGCTGACCTCAGGGTGACCAGGAACCAGGCATGGTGGCATATACATGTAATCCTCTGGGAGGTCGAGGAATGTGATGAGTTTTGCGCCAGTTTGGATTGTATAATGAGACCTTGTCTCAACAAACAAACAGATCAAGGTAGGGCTCAAAGATGAGGTATACCTTTCAGAGGCTTTCCCTAGTGACCTACTTCTCCACCTTCCTCAGTGACGCTTCCCAAGAGTCCATTCACATTTTTTGTAGAGGGCTGGCAAGATGGCTCAGCAGATAAAGGAGCCTGCTGCCAAGCCTGACAACCTTAATTCAATCCCCAGGATCCATATGGCAGAAGGAAAGAACCAAATTGTCCTTTGATCTCTAGAGTGTACCCCCCAACACATACACACACATGCATGGCCCCCCACACATAAATCATTCAATCAATATCTAAATAAGCAAAATAAAGAAAAATGTAAAATAAAATTGTTAGACTATATTAATGCATTAATAGTCTGACTTCTGGAAATGCCCTCACAAATATCACAGGCGTGCTTACTCTTCTAAGTGCAGACCCACCCACAGTCCAGGTCAATAGCACGCTGGCTGTCCTGGAAACCAGCTCAGGGAGCTCAATGTTTGGGAACCTGGGAACACAGGGCTACTGAGTAGGGCAGGTGTAATTGAACAGTATATAGCTGGTCTAGGATGTATGTATGATGGCCAGCCTGGGGTAGTGAGGGTTTCTATCTCCTCAGACATCACCATTTCTATGGTGGGAACCTTCAAGCTCTGTGGAAATATCTGGTTAGCCGCTGTGAACTGAATCTCCCTACGGTGCCATGAAACAGTAGAGCCAACCCCCATGTCTTACTACACCTCATCCTCACACCCAGCCTTTGTATCTCTGTGTATCATCTTGTCCCCTGGGAGCCCCTAGGGACCTTTCTACTCGATTCTGTGTTGTTATGTAGTTTAGTCTCTGCCAATGAATGAGAACATGTGGTATTTCTTGGTGTGCCTGGCTTATGTTACTTAGCATAGTATCCTCCAGTTCCATCCATGGTACTGCAAACGATAGGAGTCAGACCTCTTTCCTGCAGAGTAATACTCCACTGTATGCATATGCCATATACAAAGATTAGTCTGTCAGAAACACCTTGGTTGACTTAATTTTCTCCAATTGTACTGCAATAAACATGGATATTCTGGTAATTAGTATTCTCTCACTCTCTCTCTCTCTCTCTCTCTCTCTCTCTCTCTCTCTCTCTCTCTCTCTCACACACACACACACACACACACACAAACCATTCTAAGGACCATAGCACACAGTGCTTTTGATCTGGATTTGCTTAGTGTTTAGTGTGGGTGAGTGTTTGTCATATACTTGTTAGCCCTTTGTCTCTTCTTTTTCTAAGTATATTTTAAATGTTTTTTCCTAAGGTTTGTCTTTTATTCATTTTAATTCTGCTTAAGTATGTGTACATGAGTTCAAGTGCCCACAGAGGTCCTGTCTGGGAGCTAAAGTTACAGGTGGTTGTTAGCCACCTGATACAGTTGCTTGGAATTGAACTCAGGTCCTCTAGATGAGTAGTACATACTTTTAATCATTGAGCCATTTCTCCAACTCTGTCGATCCCTTTGAGAAGCATGTATTCAAGTCTTCTGTCACTTGTTTCATTGTGGGGGTGGTTTTTTGTTTCTTTGTGTAAGGCCAGGCATATGAACAATTTGGCTCCTAGGCTCAAACAATCCCTTACACCTCAGCCTTCTAGTCTGTGTACCTCCATACCTAGTCCATGTCTCATTTTTAAAAAAGATTTATTTTTATTTATGTGTGGCTGTCTGTCTGTTGGTCTGTGCATGCAGTCCTGTGTCCATGGAGGCCAAGAGAGGGTATGAGTTCTCTTGGAGCTTGAGTTACAGATGGTTATGAGGTGCCTACTACGGGTGCTGGGAACTGAATTCAGATTCTCTGGAAGAACAGTAGTCACTCTTAACCACTGAGCCATCTCTCCAGTTCCAAGTTCAATTTTTAATCATTTTAATCATAATTTTACTTATGTTTGTATGTGTGTGCATATGTATGTGTGTGTATGATTTTGTGTGTGTGCACATTACACATGTGTATGCATGCGTGTGGAAGCCAGGAGACAACCTTGGTTTTCATATTATTCCTCGTACCATCTTTTGAGTCAGAATCTCCCATTGGCCTGCAACTTACCAAGTAGGGTAGGCTGACTAGCCAGCAAGCTCCAAGAATCCACAAGATTCTACCTCCCAAGTTCTGGGTTTGCAGTCTGGTACCACCCTGATCATTTTTTTTACATGGACTACAGAAATGGAACTTGGGTCTTTGTGCTCTTATATGACAAGCACTTAGCTGGGTGAGCCATGAATTGAAATGAGTTTTTGGTTTGGTTGTTTTGTTGTTGTTGTTGTTTTATTTGTTAGTTGGTTTTGGTGATAGGAATGATACTGACTCTGAAGATTGCTTTGGTCAGTGTGGACATTTTACCAGTGTGAGTTCCTCTAGTCATGAGCATTCAGTGCCACCTCATGCAGTGTTCTGAGGATAACATGACAGGAAAGTTGAGGACCCAGGCAAGAAGCTAATCAGCATCTTCTAGTGTTTGCAAAAGGCAGGAGAGTAAGCTTGTACCAGGTCACATGTACACAGCTGCCCTGGTGTCTACGAGGGGCTGCTTTCTGTCCCCTTTGCCAGTCACCAGAACAGTGACTGGCACAGCCTTTGTTATATAGAGGTGACTTATAGTGTGTAGAGGGTTTGGGAGTTATGTACAAACACTATACCTTTTATGTGAGGGACTTGAACATCCTGGGATCTTGGTACCTGTGGTCTTCTGGAATCAATCCCATATGGATCAGGGAGACTGAGGGATGACTCTGTCTTTGTTAATTCCTTAAAGTATTGGTAATAAGTTGTAGATAACATTCCCCTTTCCACTCAATACCGCATCATGGATTTCCCAAGCACAAGCACTTCCAGTTATATAATACCATAGTCCACTCCTTAATTTTGGAGTATTTAGTATTGTGTAAAACTTACCTAAGCTACAGGC